CCCCAAAAAAAAAGTACTAGTACTGCAGTACCGAGCTCGAATCTAGTACTGGTACTGGTACTGCATATCTTTGCAAGTACTGGTACTGGTACTTAAGGTCTCACCCCGGTACGGAATTTGACCCAACCCGTTGTAGTCTAGAAAGTAGTTCTTTTAATTTTTGAAGTGACCCAGTTTAAGTTCTCTCTAGTTTGATTGGTCATAATTAGAGTGTATTTATTGCATGTGTGTAGTTTTTGTGTGTTATAGGATGACTTTAAAAGTTGTTTTTTGTGTATTCTCCAGGAACTCATTTGTTGGCGAAAGGATTTAAAATGTACTACCCACCAGCAGTCAAGAGTTTTCAAAGTGGTGAATCTAAACAGTGTTACAACAGAATGAAGATTTCTGAAAAAAAGTATATGGCTAACATGTTATATTTTGGGGCTCATTTGACTTAAATAATGTTGATGTTTAAAGTTGAAGACAGTATATAATTTATCAGGAACAGTGAAATTGGGAATTAAGCCAGAAATGTGACTGATTTACTAAAGAACAAAGAATACGAAAATTCACTAGACCGACTCCTTAAGTACTACATCCTTAGTACCAATGCAGCTCTGGTTAAAGTACTAAGAGGTTTACAAGATAAAAGTTCCTAGTTATATGAAATGATAATAAAATTGTTTTAAACAAAGAACAAATTTCACTGATGATGAAAGTGCTGTTATTATAACAAGCATAAAATGTTAACGTCACTTTATGCGCTTGATGATTTTATCGATACATGTATACAATACTTCAAATTGCGATTTGGTTTATCAAACTCTATAAAATATTTATTATGGCAATTTCAGAAGAAAAAAAACTTTTAAAAATCTCTCTTTTAAACACAGAGGAACATATTCGTCACGTTAACTGGCGTGAACGTACCTTTACTTGGATATGAAAAAAGCATGTAAAAACAATTTTCACCAACTCTTATAAAAAAAGACTAAGAAATTACCTTTAGCGTTGAAGTGTACATCTTTCTGTAGTATACACATGTTCTCAGATTTCTTATATATCTTAACTCTTTCTCTCTCTGAGAGCACACACATTTCATATCAATTTCAGCCCTGAACACTTTTTACTAAATAGAATAAGATGATATTTTAAACAACCTTAAAAAAACAACAAAATATTAATTTTGTACTAAATCTACGTGATTTGACGTGCACTATTGTGATATTAGTAAAAGGAACTAATAGTTTTTTTCTAGTAAGAGAACGGAAGGCATGTCGCTTTGCAATTGGAACCATTTCTGAAATATGCTTGTAACTGTAGTCCGAATTTTTCGACATGAAACTGGTGCCAAAATAAAGGTATGATTTACGCCATTAATAATAAAGATTAAACATATATGTAGGTAGGAGTTTGCGTTCCGTACTCCCGGTTGATGTAATTCTGACCTTTTAATCATGGCGTAGATCAAATAATGCAAGGAAACAAATAGCTTCTCCTATACAATCAACTTCAAAGTATTATAATTTGATAAAACGGCTCATATACTGAAGGAGATCTAATATTCTGTGGCAATCTTGTATTTTTCCCCGTAGACTGGTGCATATCCCAAAGAAATTGGTACAGAAATTAAATACTTACGGCTATTTTCTTTTCCCAATCGAGCAATATTTTTCTTGGAAATGATGATAAAAATTACGTCATCGTCACGTGGCATTGCTACACTGTATTCTAAAGATTTTTTATCGGAATTGATTATTTTAGTGCTTGAATTTGAGTTCATGCAATTGGTATGTAATATGATACATGCATTACTAGATCTATAATAAATAAAATTTTAGGGTTATTTTCATTTATACTTGACCATCCATATGTTGCGGCTGTTCATGAATTGACCAACTACTGCTTCCAAAGAATGAGGTGAAAACACGTTTTCGTTGTTTGATCATTTATAATATTTATAACATACATGTAGAGAGTACTGAAGCTCTAAAATACTATTCATCGAAGCAATTGTTTCTTCTCATTCGTTGATTTCTGTAATTGACATTTTTTCCTATCTCAACAGATGTATTATATATTATTTTGAAAAACTAAAATAAAGCAAGATTTTTAACAAACTTGAAGCAAATGATTTTTTACACGACCCAATCATAGTTTTTACTATTCATATAGCCTTTTATTATGAAGACCAATCAACAGATTAATCTGAAACAATTACATATATATTTTTTCGGCAACCCTTTGTTATACCTAGATTTTATATTCGAAAGAACAAGAATGGGCAAACGATTTCATTTATTGTGTAAATACATACATCGTTTCGTAGATGACATTATTAAAGCACGTGGACATACCGCAGTAAGTTAAAAGATTAATATTACATATAATTAGTTTTGTATGAAATTAAACTTGAATTACAATTTGTGCATTATATAAGTTTTATTTTTGACCTTAAGTCATAGAAAAAAGCTATTAGAAATGTTAATTGTGGTTGTTTTGGCGCCGAAATCATTTCATAAAAAAGAAAAACTAAGTTATAAATGAACGTCAGCGTCTAGTTACAGGAACCAGACTTCTTGGATATTCTAATGACGACCAAGGATGAAAATGGTGTCGGACTTAACGAAACAGAAATACGAGATGAGGTCAAAACATTTTTGTTTGCCGGTAAAGTGTTCTCCTCTGTAATGGCCGAACTTTGCAATAACTTTTCTTTCATGATCTATATAAATCACCGGATTACATGGTGCGTTTGATGTGTATAGTTTACTTACATTATTTACATGTATAGGTACGCGTTCTTTTGTTGCTATTGTTTTAAATTACATGTACAATGTATTATGACTAAGAAATTAATGCAAAATGCCTGAAAATGTTGCATAGATTTCAGTTTGCTAATGTGGAATGAAAATGCTTAATACATTTGTTTTTGAATAACCATTATGAAATATTTGCAAAGCAATTATTCGAGTACTAGTCAAAGTACTTACTGTTTGTTTATTATCTACATCATGAAATGGATACAAAAATATAGGTGTATATTTGGATAGTTCACAACACAGTAAGTTCTGCGATAAGCTGGTCCATATACTCACTTGGAAAATATCCAGAAATACAAGAAAACATTTACGAAGAGGTTATAGGAATCGTCGGTACAGCAAACGTAAAATGGTATGTTTTAGTTTTTATAAATGGTAAAAGAAGTTACTTCCTTTTGTGCAAGACTTCCTCACTAACAGCTAGAATCTAAAACACGTGTTGTCACGTTAAAGGTTTAATGATCATCACCTTAAGAACACATTTGCGGATGTTAAAATTTATAAAATTTCATCATTTTCATGTTAAATGACGAATACTGCTTAAACCGGTGCTAGGGGGCTTGGAAGGTAACTTGTACTTAAAACTATCGTCCACGAATAAGATCAATCGAACCGTGTCTGCAACATTTTCAATTTTGCAGTTATGAGCGTTCTTTCTGTATTCTGTATATTTTGCTATCTAAAGTATGTATTTTTAATAATATGAAACATTTTAGGGATCATTTGAGCAAGATGACATGTTTAAACTGTTTTATCAAAGAGGTATTACGCATGTATAGCATAGTACCTGTTATCCGCCGAACTCTGGAAATGAAATTACTAAAAAGAAAAAATGTTAAATTTTCCCCCCGGCGTTTTTGGAGAAAAACACATACAACAATAAAAATAACAGCGTTTTAAAGGCCGGTCACAGGTGAAAAAAAAATTTATTTTAATTTTAAATTTTGGGCTTTTTTTTCTTTCAGATATTTGGCAAAATTTTTTATTTTCCCACCAAATTTTGTCACTTTTTTTAATTTTTTAAAATTAAAAACCGGTTTTGGGTATTGACTATTGCAAAATTTAATTTTCTTTATTGCGGCAAAAAATAACCCTGACAGGATATCCAAACCATTTTCTCTTCAATTTAAAATTTTAAAAAAATTGTTTTTCGCCTTTTAGTATTTAAAACATGTATTTTCAAAAAACTTGTTTTTTTTTTGTTAAAATTTTTTTATTAAAACTTTAACAAAAAAAATATGGGTTTTCTTATATTTTTGTCTTTTTTAAAATTTACACATGTTATTATTTTTTTCTTCATCACATGGAAATTTTTTTGGGCCTGAAAAATTTTTTTACCAACCCTTAGAGGAAAAAATTTCCCATTTTTGTTTATTTTCCCTTTTAGCAGGATGAGGTATGAAGCTTTAAGAAGTCTTGAAATTTTTTTTACTATATTTTCCCAAATTTTAAACCAAATTAGGGTTGGGAAAAAAATGGCAAAAGCATAAATTAAAAAAAATTTTCATAAAATCCAGGATTTTTTTTTATATTTTTTAAAATAAACCCCATTTTCCCCTCAGCAAAAATTTTTTTGAATAATTTTAAAAAATTGTATTGGGGAAAAAATTTTCTCGAACGAAATTAAAATTGGGCCTGTCGGCGAACTTGCAAAAAGTAACGTATTTTTTTTGATTTAAAAAGTTTGATAATTTTTAGCTTTTTTTTTCACCGAAAAAGTTATTTGGGAAAAATTTATTTTTTTTTTTACATTCCGAATTAAAATTTTCATAAATTTGATGGGGTTAAAAAAACGACTATGTTTTTAAATTTTAAAAATTTAATTTTTTTAAATGCATTTTTGAACAACACTTCTTTTTAAATTTTCTTATAAATTTTTTTGTGCTTTCAATAAACTGAATATAGTATATTTTATTTTTAAAAAAGGGCCAAATCTATTGAAAAATTGGTTTTTGAAACAAAGGCCTTTTCAAAACATAAACCCCGTTAAAACCAGTTTCGTTGTTAAAAAAGGGATTTTATTATTTTTAAAATGTAGTTCCTATTAAAAGAAAGGAAATTTAATTTTTGGTTTTTGATTTTGTAAGAAATTGGGAAGCAGTTCCAATTTAAATTAAATTCAAGGAAACAAAGTTGGTAAGGGGGAAAACCCAAAAAATGGAAAAAAGTTTAAAAACTCCCATTCTTTGGGTTAAAAAAACTCTGACCGACCAATTTTGTTTAATAATCAAGAAATTTGGGGAAAAAATGAAATATTTTCCCTTAAAACATTTTAGGGAAAAAAATAAATGAAAAAAGAAAACCAGTTTTTAATTTTTTTTTTTCTGGTATAAGATTAAAGATTTTTTTCCCCAAAAAACCCAGAAGGTACTTACCCCATGTGGCCGGGCACTTTACATACAAATATGGCTAAAAAATTTAACCTTTTTACTTTAATTAGTGGGAGAGTTATAAACAAATGCTAAAGAGTAAGTTTTTATAATTAGGGAAGACAAAATTGTTCGTACCAAGTTTTTTTGATAAAACTATAAATTGGTTACCCCCAACCCTTTTGGGTTTTGTTTGTCTTTTAAAATTTCAAATCCATTTAATCCCTTACTGAGTGACAATCTGCAGGCGGTAATATCGCCGCAAAATGACTGATCTATTGCCATATAGCTACAATCTTCTGCTAAATATGCTTGTTATTGTTTTGCTTGTTTTTTGTTGTTGTTTATTTTTGGTGGGTTTATTTATTGTTTTGCTGAGTGACTTCACTAAAAAAGTACACATGGTTAACATATTCAAAAAGAGCAAATTGGTTTACATTTTTAAAAAAAAGATCAACAAGGAAGGGCGACAACTCAAATGAACGTATCCCTCAACAAAACCCCGCAACACAAGGACCAACAGCAAATGACACCAACAGGAACACCAAACAAAAAACAGGAAACGAGATTTATGCTAGATATTGGTATCAAAAGGTCCTTACTTGAAAGTAAATATAGAATAGGCGTTAAAAGATGAGGATACGCTGCGCATACGCACAAATACAGACAATAAACAATTGCAGCATCATAAGGTTTTCTTTAAAACCAGAAAGAAGGAAATCCGTGTTATCCTTTCTAAATCCTCACAAATGGATTACCCCCTTGGCAGAATTCCCCCGAAGAATTAAAAGGGGGAATTTAACTGGGGGTTTGGGGATTGATCTTTCGATGGGGTTTTTTTTTTGAAAAAGTTTCGTTAAAATTAAATTTTCGTTTTAAAAATTTCGTTAGTTAATTGGGGGTAGGGGGAGTTTAAAACCCCTTTGTATTATAGTGATTTTTAATTTGAATTTTTGTTTAAAGGGTGTCCCGGGGGGATGGCCCGGGAGGGTTGCAGGGGTTTTCACTACTTACAATAAAAGGCTCAAATTAAAAGGGGCCTGCCAAAATTAAAATTTTGGGCGTTTTTTGGGGTTCCTTTTTGGGGTTCTGGGTTTTTTTATTTTAAAAAGGGGAAGATTATTTAAAAAACAGGTTCAAGCCAAGGCAATGAAAAAGTTTTCTGCCCTTAAATTTTTTCACATGCTAAATGAAAAGCGGTTTAAAAAACTTCGCAAATTTTAAATATTTTCCATGCGTTTACCCCTTTTAAATTCCCGAATTAGGTTTTTGTTCATTTATATCATTTTTTTGAGATTTTTATTTTGACACCCAAATTTAATTTAAAGATGTAATGTTATATGCCCAAAAAAAATAAATCAAAAAAGGGAAAGGAATTTTAAAGTTTGCGGGTAAAAAGCTTTTAAAAAAAAAGAAAAAAAAAGAAAAAAACGGAACAACAAATTTTTAAAGCATCTTAATTTATTGCACCTTTTTTTAAATGAACATTCTTTGTAAAAAATTTTTCTAAATTTTTAAATTTTTGGGGGGTTTTGTAATGTCTTTAAGTATATTTAAACAAAAAAAAATAAAATAATAAATCAAATGTTTTTCTTGTTTTATTTTATTTTTCATTGTATTAAAAAAAAAGTTTTTAAAAGTAAATTTAAAGGGCCCTTTAATCTTTAAAAACTTCTATAATTTTAGTTTTTAAACCCGTTTTTCAAATTTTCCCCGTTCATTTTAATACAGTTTTTTTCACCTTTGGGCCCCTTAAAAATTAGCCATTTTCTTTTCTTTATGTTTTACAATTAATAAAGTTAAAGCGAAATTAAATGTTTTTAAAAAAAGGGTTTAAATTTTTTCCCTTTTTTTTAATAAATTTTTCCCCAAAACTAATTTAAAAATTTTTGCGTAAAATTTCGTTTAGGGGATTAAAATTTTCCCAAAATTTTAAAATTGTTATTGCAAAATTTCCCAAATAATTTAAAATTCAAACCGGGATTTCTTTCTCTTAAAACAAATTTTTTTTGGGAAATTTTTTCTTAAAAATGTAATCTTCAAAACGAAATTTAATTTTCCACTTTTTAAAAGTTCCCACCCTTTTTTGTTTTCTCAAAGACACGGAAAAAAAACTTTTTTGCAAACAAAAAAGGGGAATTTAATGCCCATAATTTTTCGCCAACAACCCCCCTAGCTTTTGTTTCAGGTGCTGTTTTCCCCATAAGGTGTGCCCTCAAATTTTAAAGGGCTCATTCTTAATTTTGGAAAATTTGGGTTTCTTGTCCAGGTGTCGTTTTTGCACATCTTATCGATGACAAATTGGGTCTTTGATTTAGGATTAAAAGATAAAAAATAAATTGCTAAAATTTAAAACATTTTAATTTTTAAAAACTTGCCCATTTTTGCTTTTCGTCTTCTATTTCTTTTCTTCAAATTTTTAAAGTATTTTTTTCTTTCGTTAACGTTGTTGCCAAAACGAGTGGTCCCTTTTAATTTTAGCCCGTAACAGTGGCAAATTTTTTTTATCAGACCTTCAAGATTTTTTTCTTTCCTCTTTTCCCCATCCAAAATCCATTTTTGGTTTAATAATAATATTGTATTTGCAGCTTGGTCGTCCGAAAACGTTAAAATGGCGATAAATTTGTTTATTTCCAGGTTGTAAAATAAAAACCCTAACACATTTCTTCGCCTTGGAGCTACGGGAGATGTTTCTAATTTTTAACCAGTGAGTTGTTTTAGTTATTTTTTAATGCTTAGCATTTATTTTGGTAAAGTACAATGTACTCATATGTTTGGTGCTATCGGGAAGTCTGAGCCATCTTTTCAAAGTTGAAACAAAAGAAACTAAAAAAATTTTTCCCGTTTTCATAAAAATCCTGATAAAGAGGTGAAACGATGTTTGGACCCTTATTATGGCGGTTTTTATTAAAAATGAGTTTACGCTTAAGGGGTATGCTTAAAGAATTTTTTAAAAAAGGGATTAAACCAATAAAGACATTCATTATTTGTTTTTTAACCATTAAAAATTTAAAAAAACATTTCTACCTCGGGACGTAAACGAACAACTCATTTGTCAATGCTCTACCCGGTACCGGTTAACCCTTGTGATTTAAAGCCTCTTCTACTTAGATGTGGGAATAAAGTTTATGAAACCACCCCTAAAATATTCCCAACATTTCTGCTTTGCTCGTGTATAAATCGAAATACAGAACATTTGAATTTAAATTTCCTTTAAAAAAAAAAATTTACTATTTAAATATTTATAAAAAAAATTTAATAAAATTTGGCAAAATAAAATTAATTAATTTCAAAATTTTTTAAAATTTGTCATAATTACAAAAAAAAAAATTTAAAGGTTTTGGGGGAAAAAAAAAAAAACAAATTTTAAAAAATTTTTGTGTTAAATATGAATTTTTTTAAAAGGGAATATTTAATTTTTTTTTATAAAAAATTAAACATTCGGGTAACAAAAATTTTTTTGAT